AAAAGAAAAGTTAGGTTGTGCTATGCATTAACATAATTTTCTTCTCTTGCTTTTTCTAGCTTTTTGCACCCTGCTGACTCCAAAAACCCAATGCTACTTCAGTGGTTATGCAGGGAGGAAGTAAGGTAACTTGGATTGTACATTTAATAACTATATCTCTGTTGGTTAAATTCACTTTAGTCTTATTTATATCCTGGGCATTTAGCTCTTCTGTTTTCTTACTTTGTAGCACTACTTTCTTTCTTGATAATTCTCTCTTTAAAACACACCTACACCTACAGAAATACCTACATATCTGTGCACCTTTGCACACTGCCATGCATCCACATTCATTCCCACTTCATAGAGGTCTATGAACTTATTTGGGATTTGTAACACCTTAGAGCAGTATCTAGATTCCCAAACTGCCTGGTAAGGGCATAAACAATGCAAAGGAGGGTTTTCAAAACATTTTAGTGATGCATAAATTCTAAAATAATATTAAAAAAAAAAGTTTATGAGTACTATTGGAAATTGCATATAGTGATCCATGAAACTTGAACAAGTCAGGTTTCTATCCTTTGAATTGCATTCAGTGATCCAGGAAGGAGGGTACTACTTGAAGACAGGACAGCATAGATTGTTAAGTGTCTCATGAGGGCCTACGGGCTTGGGGTATGTACTACCTGTTTCCTTTATCATTAAACTACTAGTGAGGAGTGGTGACCTCTTGCAGCTGGTAATACTCAACATGCTATAGCTAATTGACGGTGGCTCTGTACGAGGGTGGGAAGGGCTGTTGAGGGTAAGGAAGAGTCTATAACTTATCTTGATTGGTAAGTAAAGGCTCTAATCTCTGTTACCAATCCCCCCCTTAGAGGTGAGCTAGAGGGAGGGGCAGCCTTTTGGCGCTTTGCCTTTAAGCTTTACAAAATTTGCTAACTAGAACTACCACTACAATGATTTGCTGATGCAATGTTTATGGGAGAGGAGACTAATTTCCATGCTTAATCAGTGTAGACTGCTAAGCTATCAATAAGTTTCTATACACTAGCATTGACTACTCAAACCTATGGGAAGACAATAAATGGGTGAGTCGAACAAAGCCGGTAAGTTTAAGCAGAATATATATGACAAACTTATCACACACACAGTGCCATTAAAGAAGACCACAAACTTGCAAAAGACTAAAAGATCCTACTAGTTAACAAAACATGCTAGACATGTGTGAGAACTTACATGCTCAAGAACTTACTCTCATAGTCACATCAAATCAAGTCACAAAATGGAACACAATCACACAAGATGGCTTAATCAGTGTTGCAAAAAGTGTGCCTAGGCCCTGTGCGATGGACCTCAGATCTTTGAAAGTGTGCTAGCAACTCAGGGCACTAATAAGCAATTGCTCAACCTAGTGCTTGCTCAACTTGGAGCACAAACAATCAAGCTGCTCAAGTTAGAGCATCACAACCATTAACCCGACCCATTAATATAGCTATTCACATGATAGGATTACTATTCTTTTAACTCACATTCCTCATGTTGACATCCTTTGATGTATCCTACTCAAATTTTATTTCACAAAACTTATTACTTGATGACTCTCACTTATCTTAACACTTTGCATGTTTCCCTTGTAATTCATATCCATTTGTTAAAATCACTTGGGTATAAGTTAATATGCATTAACCAATGCACCTTACCTAGGTACTTAAAGGACATGCTTATGTCAAAGCATTACCTTAAAAGAGGTACTTATGAACCATAAGCACTTATGTTCCACTTAACATGGTAGTAATAGTTGAATACCTCCTTTTTTTCTTTAATCTTTTTGAGTACCTCCTTAAAACATTCTTAAGAAACTCATGAGGATTAGAAACCTTGTTTGATACCAAAGGAACCCAAGGTTAAGTGAAAGGTGTTACTTTAAAAAATGTTTGCTGAAAAACAGGGGATAGTTGACTTCCTTCTCAAAGGAGTCAACTCCCTCATGTCAGAAAGTTTTGACAAGGAACAAAATTTAACAGAGAAGGTGACTCCTTTTGAGGGCAGTTCACTCCCTCAAGCTAAAAGTGTAATCTTACTTTTAAACACAGAAATGACTTGTTACTTGCACAAGCCCAAGCCCTCAAGCATTGGGTGCTTGAACCTTGTTGATGTCTAAAAGATTAAAGGCGCTAAGTGCTGGTTTTCATTATATTTTTGGGCTAAATATATATTATCTCTTCCAACTTGGTTCATTTACTTCACTTGATTGAAATTGGGCCATTGTCTTTTACATTTACTGTTGCTTCAATTTTATGTAAAAATTAATTTTTTTTCCCTGGATAGCCAAAAGAATGACATCCAATAATTTAACCTCTTAAATTATCAATTTCTTGTATTTTTTTACTCATAAACCGTTGGAAGATTTTCATAATTTCAATGTTCATAGAATGCAGAAGAAAAGCTTATGATGCTTCTCTTAAAAACACATGTCAATTCTGCTATTACATTATAGAACAGGAGGAATAATCTGCTCTTTTTTGCTTTTTCTCTTACTCTTTAATAAGTCTAATTTTAATAAAGTTCCATACTTCTGGCATGTTATTTGTGGTAATTATAGCTCTTTTTTATGCATTTTTCTAAACTCACTGTTGATGTGCTTCTTCTTTACTTGTCAGAGAAAGGGATACAAACAAAGATGGGAAAATTGATTTCAAAGAATTTTTCCATGGGCTATTTGATTTAGTAAGAAACTATGGTGAAGAAAATCATAATGCTTCCCAATCATCTGATGACTTGATGGAAATTCCAGCTAAACAGTTGTTTTCTGAGCTTGATAAAGATGGTGACAAGTATGTATTTGGGAATTTAAGATGTTTCATCGGTTGAGTGTTTTCTACTAAAAATTTTCTTTCAAATGCTTAGAACTTGGTTTCCCATTGACAGACACTTGTCAGATGTAGAACTACTGCCCATAATTGGAAAACTTCATCCCTCAGAGCATTATTACGCAAAGCAACAAGCTGACTACACCATATCACAGGTAAGCTGACAGAAAATTGCTTTTAATGAATCTTACGGAATAGTGTTTGCATTAGATTGAATGATCCTGCATGACTTGAGCACATTTTCACTGGATTGTAAATTCACTATTGCAGGCAGATACAGATAAAGACGGTCACCTGACATTGGTTGAGATGATTGAGAACCCATACGTATTTTATAGTTCTATTTTCAGTGATGATGATGAAGATGATTATGAATACCATGATGAGTTCCGTTAATCTCATCTCTCATGCTACGTAAGATGCATTCTGCAAACTTTTGAGGCCTCTTGTTGTCTGCCACTGAATAATGGATTTCATTTTACCATAATTTGCAGGACAACTAGAGCAGTGGAATTCAATTTCTTTTTCAGCAAGAATTTTAAGTTTCCTAGAATTAGTAATTATAAAAAAATTCATTAAAATCTTCACCAAGGTTATGTTGTCAAACATTTATATATTCATGGTGAGTCCTTTTTCTGCTGGGGAATTCTTTTGTTTCTTCAATCACCTGCTTCAGATTTTATGGTCCTTTATTGCAGATTATGGACCTCAGCCTATACCGGAGATCTTCTTTCTAGATGGTAGTTGGGGAATTTCATCTTTCTGACATAATTTTTGAATGGTTGGTGTTTCATATTTAATGGTGTCTTAAGATTCCTATACTCTTCCGGGCTAGTTGATATATATACTTGTATCATATGTTACATTAACCATAACTTATTGGGCATTATGTTTTAGCAGTTTGAATGAATAAGCATTTTCTTTTGGATTTAGATGGGGTTTCTCTTCTCGAAAGTTCTTGGTGACCTCTAACCATGTAGATTGCCTTATTATTCTAAAAGCAAATCATAATTTACCTTTTTATCTCCTCCGAAGGTTAAATTCCAATGAAATTTCATGAATTAGTTCTTGCACATATCTCTTCATTTGGGTGTTTATTTGCATGTAATAAAATAGGATCGGCCAAAAAAAAAATAAAAAAACCAACGAAGGAGGAGAAAGAAGACGGCGCATGTTAAAAAGTAGAAGTTTGTCAATTTAGATTGTTGAGATCAAGCTCCAACATACAAATATAAACTGATCAGTTGTAAGGAGGTTAATTTAACCTACTGCTGTGAAATCATCGACAAATCTCATGATAACAATTGGACTAATGAAGGCGGCAGCCAATATGGTTTGTAAGGTCCTTTGATGATGTTCGTATCAATGTATTTAGAACCTAAGATAGTGAAATGTGGATTTATCCTCTGAAAGACAAAGTGTTGAAGTACGCCCTCTAACACTCTTCATTAAACATTTTTAAAGAGCTTAGACGTGGGGCACACAGATTCAATGTGATTGGTAAGTATGCATCGGGATTAAAGCTAAAGTTTTTAAGTCTTAGAAGTAGTATAAATCTTTTTACATAATATCTTCTCTAAAAGTATAGGTTATATTTTTAAATTAAATTTTTATAAAATTACGAAAAAATCATTACATCCTAATATTAAAAATATTAAGCTGTTCAACCACGTTCACAAAATATACGAGGCACACTGTACATTCCACTTAAATGTGGCATCTTTTAAAGCCAATTGATCTTGAGTATCACTTTTCTAATTTTTTATATATTATAATTAATTTTGATTAATATTTTTATAATTTTTAAATAAGAAGAGGCAAACCAATAATCACACCTGAAGGCCCAACAT